GTAAACAGTAAATACACCCGGAGCACCTGCTCGGGCACCCCCTTCGTGGCTCCTGTCCCTGCTGCAGCCACGGGGAGAGGCCTGAGGCTCAGACATGTGCCGGCCACGGGCACCTGCCACCAGCCCTGCTGAGGAAATAATGGCGGCTGTGGGACTGCAGGTGAATGCATATGTGCGTGTGTGCATGCGTGCACATGTGTGTGCATGTGTGTGGGTGTTTATACGTTTGCATGTGTGGGTTATATGTATGCATGTGTATCTGTGTATGTATGTTTTTGTGCCCGTGTATGTGTGTATAGGGAGTGGCATATTTGTGTGTGTACCATGTGTTTGTGTGTATACGTACACATGTGTAAGTGTGTACTGTGTTATGTGTGCATGTAGTTTGTGTGGCTTGGACATGTGCATGTGTTCATGTGTGTGCATGTGTGTAGTGTGTGGTGTGTATGTGTATGCAGGTGCATATGCTGTATATGTGTGTGTGTGTGTGTGTGGCTGGATTGAGCCAAGTTCACTCAGAGGTTGGTGAAATTGGACCCAGCGCAGCCAGCGAGCTTCCCCTGACGCCATGGCCCTCCTGTTCCTTCCCCTGCAGGTTGGGGCAAGGCAGGCGGAAGGCTCCGGAGACAGGGCCAGGGGTATCCGAGAGTGGTGCAGCCCGAAGGGGCTCTAGCAGGGCAAGCAGAGCAGAGTGAAAGGGCTTGGGGTGGGGGGGCATGCAGAGGGTCCCAGCTTTTGCAGGGTCCCAGCAGGGGTCCGCCCAGGTCTCTTTGCCCAGGCCCCTCCCTGGAGGCAGGGAGCTGCCCCCCTCTCCCGTCACAGGGCTGCTCTTCCATTCCAGGAAGGGAGAGGCTACCGTATGGCACCTGCTGTGCCGGGCAGGGCCCCCTTGGGCACTCCAGGTGACTGAGCAGCAGCGGTGGTCACTGTGAACTTACCTGCGCAGGCACCGTACCAGGAGCGCTGCTTGTCACAGCTCGGTGTCCTCCTCGCAATGGCCCAGCGAGGAAAAGACCAAGGGCATGCCTGCGGAAAACGCTCGAGCTCGCTGAGTTTCTGAGTTAGGGTCAGAACCCTTGCTCTGAACCACTGGGACTGAATGCAGAGACTTTATTTCTAAGGCGCTCCATCTCTCGGCCAAAAGAAGAGTGAGAAACTGGCTTCGCTGCCTGGGCAGCGAGTCAGGCGTCTGAAAACAGAGCTAGTCTGCAGTGGAGCAGCAGGAACTTCCCGGGTCACCTGCCCAAAGCTCCACAGAGGTGCTCTCCTGTTGAGTATCTGCAAGGCAGTAAGTGCCTGCCAACTGCATCCCCTGTGCAGGCGCCTTAAATCTTGGGCGATTACGTAGGTGCTCGGTGCAGCTGTCAGGAAGAGCTAAAGAATCAGGCAGACTTGGCACTTATGTCACAAAGTCTCGGATTCTCCACCAGAAAAGGGTTCTTGCAGGAATGAAGCCAGCCTGCCCAGCCGGACCCGTCGGGCCAGGTGGGGCTCCCTGTCACACATGCCCCTGGCACCTACCTGGCCTTGCACATTCACTGGCATGAGCACGCTATCCATGTCGCCTCCCCCGCTAGACACGGGGCGCGGCACGTGGCGGGTGGCTGACGAAGGACTTTGGGGAACGAGCAGAAAAGCACTGCAGTCCTGCAACTGTGCGCTTCAGTGACACGGGATTGTCCAGGATACCGCGGGTTGGCCTGGAGATTTCGGGTGCTTTGAGACACATGTTTCGGGCCAAGGTCCTTTTGGTTTTCCAAATCTCGCGGTGTGGGTGGCTGCCAGCTTGGTTTTGAGCCACGTCGACTCTCACTGCTTCCTTGGCTTTTGTTAGCATTCACGCCTCTCTTGCACCAAATTCAAGGACACCGGAAGCCACTTATGTCAGTGGTTTGGGTCTCGTAGTGTCATGCGTGGCTACAAATAGTGTCACTCTTGTGAAACCGCCCTGTGACCCCTGCCGCAATCACTGCCTTTGTGTTAAATGTGGGCACAGGATTGGAAGAGTCTCAAAGGGAGCTTTCTTAGCATTAGGGTTTTAAACTTGCTACCTGTGAACACAGGTGTTTAAGCCCTGCCATTCTCAGGAGCATCTTTTAAGCAACGCTGTGACAGCAGGCAACGGCTTCGGGCCCGGGGCCCGCGCACTCCTCAGTGCAGGCGGAGTGCGGAGCTCACATTCCACTTTAATCAGACTCCATTCCGCAGAATGCTCCCTTAATGAGGGCTAATGACATTAATTACTGTCCCCTCCACTTAAGAACATGCTCAAGAGGAGCTAATTGTCACATAATGGCCCAGGAATGGCTGACGCCCTAGCAGAGCTCGAGGGGTCTGCGTCCCCTCCTTCCACCGACCCCCCGCCTGCCCACCCGTGATCGCCTCCTTCCCGTGTCCTCCCACGGGGCCGTCGTGTTTCATGTCTGGGTGTCGGTTACAAGGGGGAGTCACAGCACATGGCTGCCTAACCTTCCAGGGGGACTGTGGGGGCTCAGATCGCCACCAGGCTCAGGAAGTTGGGGGCCCGCTCTGCGGGTGAGCCCTGGGCCCTCTCCTACCTGCGCGGGTGGCGTGCTGAGCACCTCTTGACAGGAGAGTCTCCCAAGAGCTCCCGAATGCAGAACGCACAGGAAATCTGGCCCAGGAATTTATCCTGCAGAATTTTTTTGGTATATGCCCACAAAGAATATATAACGTCATCTACTGCAGCATGGATAGAATAGCAAAAAGGTGGAAATAATCTAAATGCCAAAGAGTGGACTGACCAAATAAATCACGGTATATCCGTAACGTGGGATAACTAGGTAGAGAATGCAAATGTACTGATGTGAAACAATATTGATATATTATTAAGTGAAAAGAGCAAGGGGGTGGAACAGTATATACGGTATGTTGCCACGTGTGTAAAAGAATCGGAATGTATGTGTGTGTGCATGTACGCACACACGTGCATTCGCCTCCCCTCCACACCCACCCACATGCAAAGCAGGAGGTGGGGACTAAGTGCCAGCATGTCCTCAGCCGTGGTGTGTTGGGCTCTTTCGGGGTTTGCAGGGACGTGCCAGGGGTTCGGTCTGTGGGCAGTGTGCAAGACACGGTGCATCTGCAGCCAGGAGCAGGGCTGGCGGAGGCAGCCACGGTGCAGAAGGGGCCCAGGCACCCCGAGGGACAAGCGCCCAAACCTGGCACTGGGAAGGGCAGGAAGTCATCGTCCGGGAGAAAACAGAGTGGCCGGTGGAAGTTACGTCTCCGTGTCTGAGTGCTAGGAGGAGAGGAGCGAGCACGTCGAAAGGAGAGGTAGGCCATCTTTACCGATTAATGGTAAGACTCGAGTCACTCTAAAGCTGCGGGGTCCGATGCATTAGGCACAGCAGCCACACGTGGCTGTTTAAGATGAAATCAACATTGAATAACATTAAAACTCAGTTCTTCAGTTGCACTAGCCACATTTCAAGTGCTTGGTAGGCGCGTGTGACTATTGGTTACTCCCATTAGGAGAGCACAGATCTAGAACCTTCTATCATTGGGTAGTGGTCTAAAGCTGTGGTCCCCATTCCCCAGGCTGTGGACCAGTCCGGTCCGTGGCTTGTCAGGAACACTGGACAGGGGCATGCCTGAGCTCTGCCCCCACCCAAGGAACCCGCCACACAGCGGAGGTGAGCCGAGGGGAGTGGTAGGCGAGCCCCCCACCGCCCGCGCCACCGCCGGAGCTCCGTGCCACCCCCATCCATGGAAAACTGTCTTCCATGAAACTGGTCCCTGGTGCCAAAAACGTTGGGGACTGCTGCTTTAAAGTGTGTATATCAAGTTTCCGTCATTCAATTATTATTTTTAAACTTTAGTAACATAAATTTGCATGAATTCTGAAAAAGTGTGCTTGTCATTAAACGAAGTCCAAGTTAAATGGCATTTTAAAAATTTGTTTGCTTTCACCCTCACGATTGTCATTTCTTTACAGTGCAGATCCTGTTACTTTGCAATGAACACCAAATCCCAGAGCCTTGAAGTTGTCTTCTTGGGTCGCAAACAAGGGTCTGCTTCCCGGACGTGTGAAGGGATCTCGGTGGAACCGTCGTGGAGACATGGCTGTCTCCGGAGGTCAGGGCGGGGCAGTCTGCCATCTCTCAGGCCACACTGGGCTCTGGCCAGACGTTGGCCGAAGTGGGTAAGTGGAGGCCAGGCCCGGCGTCTGCAGACACGGGTTCCTCTGGGATGAGAAGGCAGGTCTCCGCAAGGACGCTGAGAAGGCAGCCGCGTGTGTTCGGGAGGACAGATTCGGGCACTCCCTGCTGGGGAGCTCAGGGCTCATCAGCCTGTGACCATCTTTTTGTCCTAATTTGTGCCCGCCGACTGTGCACAAACCCCAGGGTAGGGGGACACGTGGGTGGCCAGAAGACACCTGGAAACCACCAGCCTTCCTGGGCATCAGTGATCCAAGCTACTGGGAATTCTGGGGAGACGTGGAATCAAACCTGGACTGTGGCGTGAGAGAGCTTGTGAATTTCTGTGGTGTCACCCCAAACTGTCAGGGACTCTTAAAATTCTGTCCCGAGTGTCTGCTTCCTCTGATTGTGTTCTCACCACGGTCCGCACGTGGGTTCCTTGCTGTCCTCCACCAATTGCCTTTCCTGTTCTTACAACGTTCGAATTTCTCTTTTGACCATTTTTTACTCTTTAGTCTTTTTCTTAGTTACCATTTTTTACTTCTTCACTTAGGCTTCCTCTTCCAGGTGCATTTGCCCCAATTTTGCATCACCGTGGCTTCAGCCAGCCAGGGCTGGCCGGGGTTTCAGCGCTTGCAGGGAACGCTGGACGGGGCCAAGGAGCTCAGGGCCAGCGTCCCACGTGTGGGCTGGGCGACCCTGGGCTTCAGTTATTTCCCCTTCAAGATTAGGATGTTGGAATAGTTCATTTTTAAGATTTTTTGTTTCAGTTCCATCAACCAAATTACTAAGTCAGTTCAAGGACAAGAGCCTTATCTATTACATAGAATATATTACTACAGCAAATAATTAATTTATTAAAATGTGTGCAAGATACTATACAGTGTCTATGGATTAGTAAGAAGCTAGTGTACCGATAATATAGTCATGACTTAATAGTTGTCAAATTAGAATAGTCTCGCTCACATCTTAAATCCGACAACGAGTACCGGTGAGATGAAGCAGCCAACTTGGAAAGGTTGTGGGTTTCAGTTATATAGAAACTTGACGTAGATTAAGCGACAGAAACGATTGTTACGACACGGGCACGGTGCCAGGCTCGCCGGCGTGACCTGGCACACGCAGTGGGGGTGAGTCCGCGCATCGCCGCTGCACATTTCTGTTCCTCCTGCCCGGGCTCCACCGGGCAGCGCTGAGTCCGTCTCTGGAGAGCTACGGCCGTCTGCCCCCAGGGAGACCCAACCGTGGTCCTCAGAAAGCCACTACTTTCTCTTCTTTTTCCCCTTCTTCTCTTTCTTTTTCCCTTTATCCTTTGCCTTTTCTGTGGTGTCTCCCGTTAAGGCCAAGGCTCGCTTTTTCCCCAGAGGGGTTTTGGCATACCAGCTCTGAAATGAAACAGAGTTCGGGAAAGGGTCAGAATGGCATGAGTTCCCCGGAACACTCTTAAAAATAAAGAAGAGCCTGCTCGTAAGGAAGGGGCTGGAAGCCGCTGTCCTTTGGGCGTTTAATGTATGTTTAACACAAACTCTTTCCCACTGGGGTTCCCACCTGTATTTCTGCACGATTCGAAATGAAACTCCTCCCTCAGGGATTAGCATTTGCAGGGAATCGCAGGCTAAATCTCACCTACAATCCTTCCCCACTAAGCCACCTGTTTCCCGAGTGGCTTGTGTCTTGATGGGGGTCTTCTTTGTAATGTGCATGGTCCCCACGACTCACACATGGTCACCAGGAGCTGGACTGGTGGCCACGTGTGAACAATAGGTGGCCGTTCAAATACTGGGACAGAGATACTGCTGAAAATATGGCAGAAATACCAACCCAGAACTCAGTGATTGACTGCAACCGATTGTATTGTCAAACGGGTGGTAACTTTATTTCTAGCACTTAGGGATTTTTCTCTTCCTCCTTTTAGCCTTGGCTCTGTTTGTAATGTAAGGTAAGGTGTCCAGGTACTTACAGCGATAAACTCCTAATTTATCGAGACACAGTATAGAACATAGTTAATAAAGCTGGCTTCTGAGTAAGGTATAAATTTCAGCTCTGCTACTTTTTCAGCCGCATGACCTGCAACAAGTTACCTTGCCTCTTGTATTGTTTATTTTATTGCTGCTGTGGCAAATGACCACAAACTTAGTAGCTTAAAATAGCACGTTTATTATCCTCTAGTTCTGCAGGTGGGACGTCTGAAACAGGTTTCACTGGGCTAACGTGCAGGTGTCTGCAGTGTGTTCCTCTCCGGAGGCTCCAGTGGGAGTCTGTCCCCTTGTCTCCTGCAGCTTCCAGAGACCACATGCTTTTCTGGCTGTGGTCCCTGGTGCACCTTCAGGTGGGGACCCTGGGCTACCTGGGGTAGGAATGAGTCTTTCTCGTGCTGCTCTCTCCGGTTCTCTCTTCAGAGTCTCTCTTCCACTTTTCATGACCACACTGACTGACCAGGATAACCGAGGGCACTCCTTGTTCAGGTCGGCTGATTGCAACCTCACTCCATCTGCAGCCTCACTTCCTCTTTGCCATGTGCCCTGACGTATTTGCAGCTTCCAGAGATTCGGGTGCAGATGTCTTCGAGGGGCCATTATCCTGCCTAGCACACCTCCCCATATATCTTGTTTCCTCACTTGCAAAATAGGGAGACCGTGAGGTGTGGATGAGTGAATAGTGGCAGGCACATAATAAGCAGTCAGTAAGTATTAGCTAACATTTTAACCATTTTTATCATTACTCTAGTTGACTATTTTCTCTATCACGCCCATGGAGGAGTGTGGAATGTGTCTGAAGAATCTGCAAGATCTTAGTCTGATATGTTGTTGAAAATGCCGTTAGGTGACATTTCTCAGGGTTAGCCCCATTACAAGCAACTACAGCAACCGAATCAATCGCACTGTTTGAGAGTGAGATGGTGTCGCTCCATGTATCCTCCTGCTCAATAAATGTGTCCCTAAACAAACCGATGGACCACCCACCTGGGGCCAGCGCTGGGGCTGTGATGGAAGCAGGCGTGGCCTGCGGGGAAAGGTAACGGTGGGAAAATGATTCAGTGTCCTTAAAAAATGAATAAAGGGTCGGACACACCAAGAACGGGTGTGAAAAGCACACGCTTTCTCATCCCCGGCCACACAATGGTGGCGTGTCCTCCTCCTGAACAGTATAGCAGACCCCCAGCACCTACAATAGAGAAAACTCCCAGAGATCACTTTGGAAAGTTAAAAACCCAGCTAAGAGAACGCATAGGTTTTAACATCCTAAGTCTAAGTTCTCAAAATAAGGATGAAAATTAAGATTTTTAGCAAGGAGAAAAAAGTTGGGAATTCCAGGAAAAATGTGATACATCACTTGAAGAGGAAAAATATTTGCAATGATGATGAACAAGATTTAAATAGTTAACAAGATTATTGATCCAGATGCTTAGCAACAATTCAGCTTAGAGTTAAAAATAGTTTTTTCAGTTTTTCCAGAGCAGGGGCCAGCAAAATACGGCTGATGGGCCAAACTGGGCCTGTTGCTTGCTTTTTCCAATAAAGTTTTATTGGAACCCAGCCATACTCATTCATTTATATATTGTATATGGATGCTTTTGTGTCGTGATATAGAGTTGAATAGTTGAGAGACTGCAGGGCCCTCAAAACCTGAAATATTTCCTCTTTGAACCTTTATGGTAAAAGTTTGCCAACCCTGGTGCTAGACCATTATTGCTGGAATCATTATTATGACTAGTCTCCACCTTCCACTGAAGCATTGGGGGCAAACCGGGACAGAGCCACAGTTTTTAGATGTGGCAGAAAAACGATATGCTGTATAGGAAATTTTCCTAATTCTAAGCAGCACCCAGAGACAAGAGGCTTGAATGAGAATTTCAGTCCCCCTCCTGGTGATGGCCAATGCTACGGTGGCTTCAACCACGCGGATGTCATTTTCCTCCCATGCCTTTGGAGTTGGCCAAGGAAACTACCTTCAGAAAGAGGACACCGCTGCATTCATTTTGATTTAGAGAAGAGCAGATAGAGTTTGAGGAGGGCCCACTGCCCTGGGCATCGAGGCCTAGGGCTCCACTGTGCCCCAGGCCAGCTATGTGAATGGATGAAGCCGTGATTCTCAGCGACTTTGTGCCCTCCCATAAGAGACAGGGTTGGAAGAGATGATTCTCAAAGTTTCCTAAAGATCTAAAAATTTCTGTGACTATGTCAAATGTATTCAAAAATTGGAAAACTAACTTTTGGTGAATTCTCTCTATGGTTTCCTATTGCAAGTGGAACTGAAAACTGAAAAATGAAGTGTATCATGGCAAATACGGGACAAAAACAGCATCGGCTTGAAATATACTAGTTAGGGAATGGTTTTAGCTACGCAAAACTTGTTCTACAGTATGAAATATGAAGTAAAAACCATGACAAGATCCTGTGTGTGCATGTGTGTTTGGACCCAGTGGTTTTGAAGCTGCTACTCAGTTCTGCAGTTTGGCTGTTAATAATCTGTAAGGTCACAAATCATGATTTTCCTAAAATGTGAAAGACATATGCTTTACTGCTACAGCTCAAAAGATTTTGTGATCCAAACATATCGAGCTTCCAGATCTCATCATATATGGCAGAGTTCAAATTCATGACACCCAGGAGACCAGAGGGAGGGGGAGATGTGACGAGGGTTTGCTGCTAAGGTTTGGCCACCAGGCATTCCTTACCTTGAAGCTCTCTTCTTCCTCTTTGTACACTGGACTCATGCCGGTTATCGCCTCAGTGAACTCGGCTGCGGTGAGCGGTTTGTAAGTCTGCTGCCGGATTCTCCGATCTGTGAGCACATCCTTAACCACTTCGACGATGTGTCCTTGGGTGAAGCCATCGGTGATCTTTGCCAGGCAGCTGACATTCAAGGTCTTAGAAAGGATTCCTCCATGGCGCTGAATGATTTGTTTCCACAAAACTGTTGCATCCAAAGTGGCAGAAAAGATACAGAGAACAAGGGTTACCGCGGAGAGAGAAATGTCAGTGTAACTCTCGGTACAGGGCCGCACACATCTCATCTAGAAGGGATGCACAGGAAGTTTACGCCAATTTATTTGTAATTCAAATGAGCAGAGAGCCAGATAACTAAATGCTTTCCTCTGGGGGAATCTTCGACCATAAGACACACGTATCAATGACCCTGAGATGTGTAGATCTGAAAGTCTCTGCAAATTAACAAGGAAAATAATTAAACCACAGTCAGGATGGCTTTGATGGGGTGCCTGTAAAGACGTTTAAAATCTTTTAAGATCAGAAATCACACAGGGTGTAGACGGCATCTCTGCTCATTAGAACATTGTGTTTTCCAAAGAATTTTGATGAGCAGTTTAACTTATTCTATTTTAGTTATGAAGCTAATTTCTTATATAATTTTTGTATCTAGAACTAGAAAGCACATTCCGGTTTCCATTAGCTGTGGCCAAGTCCGGTGCTTCTGGGTGTAAGACACTGTGCCGTACGTCATATTAACTGGCCGCTCTCACCCCATTCTGTCCCTCAACAACTGTAAACACGCAGCGGTTGACTAAAATCCGTCAGATGGGTGCCTGGCGGTTCTCCGTGTTTGCAGGACATGGGTAAATGAGAGATTTCAACTACAACACAGGGATGCTGTGAAAATGAATTACAAAATAATTCCCGATGAGTTAGAGATAGAACGAACTCTTGTGCAATATTTGAAATAACACTACGTTTGAAGAACCATGTGCATTCTCTACAGAGCGCCTGTCAAGAGCACTTCAGGGCAATGCTGAGGTTCGCCGTAGCTTGATGGTATCCAGACAGCGAGGAGCGGAAGGGCGCTCCCACGACCACCAGTCTCAGCCCCAGAGGTCGTCAGTCCCAGCAATGGGATGATCTGGTCAAACGTCTCTTGAGCATTTTGACCTTATTTGACGGATATTTCAAACAGTTTTTAAAAAAATGGCCATTACTATTTGATCTGAGCATTGCCAGGTCTGGCAAGGGGTTAATTCTGGGTCTGTTAAAAGACTACATCATCCACATACATTGATCCAAAAATGGTAGCTAAAATGAAAAGCTCTATTTACTGTAAAGAAATAAAACTATGGCCCACATCAGAGAGTCTGGATTTGGGGCCATGCACTATTCTACCAGTTCACCTCCTCTGTCCTCTTTGGTAGGGGTCCTTGTCCCTGGGTGGGAGGGGTTAAGTTGTACCATGGGGCCTGCAGATTCTCTGAGCTGTGGAAGATCAGGCACCAAGGGTTTGGAGATCTGCAGGGAGACCAACAAGTGCCATGGGGACCCCAAGCTGGCCTAAAGCTTAGTCTAAAGCCCTAGATCTACTCTGCTACTTCCTGGGCAAGTTTATTTAAGCCCGAGCCCAGATGAGTCTTAGTTGTAAAATAGGAGGAAGATTTACGTCTCAGTGGTGCTGTGAGTGTGTACAACAGTATATACAACAGTGTATCCTGGAAGAACACCATCCTAACATGTGATGGGTGCTTTCTTTTCTGTAGCTGAATTACTGTTGTTATTACAATTATTACTACGATTATCCTTCATTCCATCGTGCGATGAGGTTTCCCAACCCTCAGTAAAACATCAATTATAAAAGATAACAAAAAATACTCTATGGAATATTTCCAAGCATGTTCGTGCAAAGACAGATCGTAACAGGTGAGGATTATCCTCATCTAAATGCAACTGCCGTAGAGTCAGAAATCGGAAAATACAACCATGGTAAAAATGACAAAGAGCAACAACTAGACAACGTCATCACTTGAAACCTGGCATGTCTTCTGTCCAAATTTACAATGTCTAAAAAAGTACCAGCAGGTCTGAGTGCTGAGTCTGGAAGCTGAGAAGGGAACAGGTTTTATTGAGGGTCACAGGTGGGGCCTCCGAAGCTTAGATAGACACCCCAGGCTGGAAGCTCAGGACAGCTCTGCCCTGGGCAGGTCTGCGCAAAATTCCTAGCCATGGAACGGCCAGCAGTCCAGCGGTGAGGGCCAAGCATCCCCAGCAACGGACAGGAGCTCTCTCCCCGCATCCCTGCTACGCTACAACAATCACAGTCTCGGAAGTTTCGTGCCTAAATCACCCAACCTTCTAATAGGCGCAAACTCTCTAAATTCAAGATTCACCGGTGATCGGGTACAATTACTCTGGTATAGTGTGTACATGTAAACACCCTGTTGACCATTTAAAAGGCATGATACTTGGTATTCATGTAGAATTTTGGTTGAGAGTCCTCAAAATATACAAATCATTGATTACTTGCCAAAGATCAGCACTTTTTAACGGAGGTGCAGTAAGAGTGTAACAGCAAACAAGACCGGGAAACAAACCGAGAACCACACGAAAGTACGGCAAAACAGGCTTTTATTACTCTGGCAGGCTCAAAGGGGTCTTGTCTCCAAATTCTGAGCAAAATGGGGTCTGTGAGCATGGAGGCTTTTATACGTTACAGAAGCAAATGGTTACAAAGTCTGCACGAGCTCCTGGTCTAGGCACCTGTTACTCTGTAGTTGCTTAGTCATGCTGTTTTGCAGTTACGCACAAGATTGAAGTCTAGTCAAAGGTCACTCTTGAGTTGCTTAGTCATGCTAGTTCGCAGTTATGCTACTATTAGGAAGGGAGTGGAAAAATACTCCCTTACAAGAGAGCTCTGTGAGGCAGTCCAGGCACAGGGGACAGTCGTCCTGAGATGCAGAGGACAGGAACGAGAACCAGCCCGACTCCTTCTCGTGGCCGTGGGCTCCAGCTACGAGCCTTTCAAAGAATGGTTTCCACTGCTTTCCCAAAGCTGCCATTCATGTTCTCGATGGTCAGAGAGCTGCTCGGGGCCTGAGGGGGTCAGGTGCGCAGCGAAGCTCAGTGCGCTGGGCTCGGTTGACACGCTGGACGCCCAGCAGGAGGCCGTGTCTGTTGGGGTAGGGGAAGGGGTGGCGGGTGGGCAGAGCACACAGAGCAGTCCTGGGGTCTGGCCATGGCCGTGGTGGTGAGGACCGAGGCTGGGGACCTGCGGGTGCTGAAGGCAGAGAGGCATCTCAGGGCCGAGTGCTATATTTTACTTTCCTCTCTTGGGTGCAAAAGGCTCCTCATTTTTTTCAGACTAATTTACATGCTCTTTCCCTTCTTTTGACAACAACGAACGTGGTCTTTGGCTTCCCTTCATCTGCTTTTGACATTCCCGATTGGTTCCGTCCTGGCTCATGCTCAAGATGATGTAGTATCTCAAAATTCATTTTTATTTGGGGTTTTACAAAAGCCTGGGAGGTGAATAATGTGATTTCAGTGAGCTTCTGACCCCCTGAATCCTAAAATTCCAGGTTAAATCTGGAGACAGAACGTGGCCCCATTGGACAGGACACTGGGTCCGCCCAGATACGGGGGTGGGGGAAGGAGGACATTGGATAAACAGGCTTGTTAGTGGAACAGACCCCAGGGGCAAGCATTAGGAACGCAGAGAGAAGGAAACCCTAAGGGACTCCGGGGACCAGACAGGCATTGGGCAGCCTGGGGGGGTGCATTTCCTTTGCAGAGACAGCTTGATGTGGGGCGAGGAAGGAGACACTGAACTGTATTTGGGGACTGTTCCTCAGCCGGTCCCTCTTGGCGTCTCAGTGCCGTTTCTTCCCCACCTGCCTGGGGGAATTTGAGAAGTGGGACTGTGCGTGTCCCCCACACCTTGGGCGCTCGCTGCTGGCAGACAGATGGCCGAGCAACGGGCCACGTTACAGATTCGCAGCCCATGCTTTATGGGCTGGAAGAGACTACTTTCCATCACTGCAACGACAGAACAGTCTTTCTTTAAGACGGATGCCCCGGCCGCTGTGGCCGTGAAAACTTCAAGGTCACTGGAGGAAACGCTGGCCAGTGTTTACGGTGTCGGCGGGAATGGCGGCCTGAGCAAATCGCTCATGGAGGGAGAAATATGAGAGGCGTGAGGCTTAGTGGACACGGCCCTGTGCCCCGCAGAAGTGCTTTATGCGGGTCTGTCATCTGCCCGCAGGTGAGGGGGCACCTCCTGTCCTGCTTCTCCCATGACGGTGCTGCAAGGAGACTCAGGTAGGAGCCTGAATGTGATCTGAATCCTGAGGGATGCCTGGCATTTTATCAAAAGAGCAAAACTGCCCGTGCTATACATCAATAGCTTCATTTTTAAAGGGCCTATAGTTTTGTCAAACAATAGAAACCATTCAATCCAAAGGCAAGAATAACATTCTAGCCTCTTCAAATTAATAATACCCTACTTTATCCCATTAAGGTGGCTTCAAAATATATATAATACAAAAAAAAAAAAAAAGAAAAAAGAGGAAAAGAAAAAAGTAGTGAGCACGAGAGGCGAGAGGAATAGCTCTGGGAGAGCCGGCAGTGTGGACCACCGGGCACGAATGGCAGACACTAGGGCTGAGACTGCCGTGCGCCTGTCTCTGCTCCCCTGTCTCTATGTCGTCTCCCTTCCTGGCTGGACGTCCCTGCCCCTTGACCCTCAGTGGGGCCATGGGACTCATTCTGGCCACTGCCATACAGGCAGAAGAAATGGTGGCCTCTTGCGGGTCTAGTCCTTAAAATCCCCTGTGACGTCCTCCGCCCTGGCCTCCTCCCTTCTGCTGATGTTGGCTGGATGCAAAGGACCTGGTGGGGGTTTTGAGGCCCTAAAGGATGGAGAAGCCACTAGATGGGTGGAGAAATGGCCGGGCCCAAAGTCTTCTGGTACTTTGTGTATAACATTGACTTATGAAGCCAGGATCACCACTTATCAAGACAGAAATAAGCACACATTGCACACAGAGCAGCTAATAAGCTAGTGGTCTAGCATACATGGGAAGTAGAGGGTCGTTCTTTCAGCAAATAAAATTGCTCAGGAGCTTCAGGACAACCAGGGAGACCGTATATCCCCTCTGTTTTGATGGTGCTCATGTGACTGGAGAAGGATTAATGGAGACTGAGTCTGACCTAATCATTGCGCGGTTACCATTAATGCTGACCTCTGCTGCCACCAGCACCTCCTACTGCCACTGTGACCACCAGCATCTCCGTTATTGCCACACAACCATTGCCCACCACCAGCCTCCCTGGCACTGCTACGCACACCGCCAATGTTGGCACCAGAGATGCCACCTCCCTAGGGTCACCCCACACTGCCACCACTGCCACTGTTACCTCCACCAGACTGCATATCCACGGTCACCTCCACTAGCACACACCGTGCCCCCTCCACCATCTCTTAACACTGAGAGCACCGTCACCCTGTCAACACCAAATCTGCCACCACTGGCCACCACCGCGGTGCTAAGGATGCCCTTCTACAAGCCACACCCATGTGTGGTGCTCTCAGATCTGGCCTGGCCCTGTGGTTTCTACCTAGCCAGTAGAGTGTAGTGACAGTGGCTCTGTGTGACTTGTGAGGCTGGGTCAGCTACTGCCCCAACCTCCTGAAACGTGTGCTATGAGACCTGCCATGTGCGGACCCCCATGGGAACTGCTGCCGTGTGGAAAGCCATGTGGAATGGCCCAGCTGAGTCCACTGATGGCCAGCAGCTCTGGTAACACAGCTGAGCCGTCTTAGGTGTGCACACTGTCCAGACCACTCAGGCCCCGACGGACATTTAACTCTGACGCCTTGAGATACCTCGGGGAGAATGCCCCAGCTGAGCCCATCAGCCTCGGAACCACGGGAGGGAGTAACTTGTTCTGAGCTGCTAGGGAGGCTTTCCCACGGTAATAGAGGACAGAAACAGCCACCAGTGCCACCACCAGCTGCCTTTGCCACTCACCCCATCCTACTTCCCCTCCTCCTCCAACTGCCAACTCCTCTCCCTCGCCCTGCCTGTGCCAACCACACCCACGTGCTCCTGGTGCCACCGTGGGGCTGGGTGCTCTGCTAACCACCGTGGAAGAGGGTCACAGCAGCCCTACAGTGCAGACGGCTCTCCCACTTCACAGGGGAGAACACGGAGGCTCAAGTCGACTGACTTGTCCAGGTCATCGGCGATTAGGGGGCAGAACTGGGACTCTAAGCCAGGTCTCCTGAGACCCCCCCAATCTTGTGGATTTTCCGATTTCATTGTGCTGCCTCAGAAACACTTTTTTGTATTGTTCCCATTTAAAAATATGCTTCAAAAGAAGTGGATTTTGAATCTGTCTGTTCAAGAAGAAAGAGTTGAAAAAGTAAATGTTCGTATTTCATATTTATTTTAAGTAAGTCAACGTGCAGCTGGATTCCAGACTGGCGGGAAGAAACCAACCCTGTAAAAAGAAATGGTGCTCTATGGGAAAGACACCATCACCACGGGTGCGAGATGAGTGATCCTAACCTACCTGCCAAAAGAGAAATTAGCACCCACAATTTTGTCACCATCAGGGTCAAAAATAATAATCTCCATCTACTTTCTTTTTGTCTTGGGCAAAGAGAAATACGTTAACAGCAGAACAAAGACACATGGCTTCCCTCCTGTGGCCAGGGGTTCACGTTTCTGGCATGTGCTCCCTATCGGGTCCAGGTGTGTGCCCCCTGGCAGGGCACAGGCTCCACTCGACTCATCTGATGCTCCCTGGGTCACGACAGTCACCCAGTCTCACACGCCGGCAAGCAAACAACAGACGACCCAGGCTCAGCTACCACACGTGGGAAGGGGCTGGGGTACTTGCCATATCTGGAAGCATAGTCCGGTCTGGGAACCAAAATAATTTTTTGGTAAACTTTGCAGAATGATTGGATTTCGGCATCAAAAGGACGCTGTGTTGTCCCCACAATCAGAATCCTGTCATCTGGTTTCAGGAGTTTGAGGATTTTCGGAAGCTGTTTTTTCAGGCGTTTAGGTTCATTCTGGTAGAAAGGGAGAGGAGAAAAAAATTGGCCCACATACAGAAAAAGGAATGACAAACTAAAAAAAAATCTACTCTTAGAAATAGAATGTGCTTCGGCATACATTTGTTAAAGTGATTTCAAAGCTCCAGAAAACACAATTTCTTCAAGTCTGTCCTGGGACGAGTCTTGGAATGTGCTTCCGACTTTGACCGGGTCATTTATAATTGTCGGCATTTCCTTTCCTCAACCTCTGGCACCCAGATTTGGAGAGTGGGAAGGAAGGAAGCACCTGACTGGACATTCGAGCACCTTGACCCTGAGAATGGGAAATAGTGGCTGAGTCCCAAGTGGAAGGAAGCTCGCTGGGACTTATAATTAGTTTGCGGTGCTCCGTTTTCCTGAGTGGCATGGAAGGTGAACCAAGGTTTCCTTTGCTGACGGCTGTGACAGTGAGGAACCTCGGCCCGGACATCATGTCTGACACATACCTGGTTACACAAGGTTGCGAAACTCCTCTCCCTGGAGCAGTCTGGAAATGGTTTGAACCTGTATGATTTCAGTGTAATCTCAGCACTAATGAGGGAGAGGAGAAAGCTAGGACAGGCTCTCCATTTGGTACCCTAGGGAGGATGACTTCCAGCCGTGGGAGTCAGAGCTGGCCACGTTGCCATGGGCAACAGACTGGTTTTAAATTAACCTAAGCTGGCACAGACAACGGAAGAGGAAGTGTGGGAAGAGGGGTCGGGACTCCAGGGGTGCTGGTGGGAGCCTCCATGGAGATGTCCCAGCACAATCTTGGCCATTTTTGCTACCATTTGGCTAAGGGCTAATGAGGTTCTGCATCTATTCATGTGCTTATTGGTCATTTGTGTATGTTGTCTTTAGAAAAATGTATATTCAGATTGTTGGCCCATTTTACAAGTTGGGTTATTTGTCTCTTTATTATTGAGTTGTAAGAGTTCTTTATACATTCTAGATACAAGTCCCTTATCAGTACATGGCTTGCAAATATTTTCTCCCATTCTGTGGGTTTTTTCGCTTTATTGATGGTGTCCTTTGTAGCCAAAAAGTTTCTAATTTTGATGAGGTGCAATTTAATTGTTCTTTTGTTGCTTGGGCTTTTGGTGTCATATCTAAGAAGCTATTGCATGATCCAAAGTTACAAAGATTTATGCTGATATTTTTAAGAGTTTTATCATTTTAGCTCTTAAGTTTAGATCTTTGATACATTATGGGTTGATTTTTGTGTTTGGTGTGAGGTAGGGGTCCAATTTAATTCTTTTGCAGGTGGCTATCCTATTTTCCCAGCACCAGTTGTTGAAAAGACTATTTTTCTTCATTGAATTGTCATGGCACCATTGTCAAAATTGACTATAAGTGTAAGGGTTTATTTCTGGACTCTCAAATCTATTCCGCTGATCTATATTTCTCTACTTATGCCCTTACCACACTGTCTTGATTGCTGTAGCTTTGTAGTAAGTTGGGAAGTGAAATTAGGAAATGTGAGTCTTCCAACTTTGTTTTTTCATTTGAGGATTGTCTTGGCTGGATCCCTTGAATTTCCACATGAACTTTAGGATCAGCTTATTAATTTCTGCAAATAAGCCTGCTGGAATTTTGATGGAGATTGCATTGAATCTATAAATCAATATTTTGATTTATCTTAACAATATTAAATCTTTCAACCTATGAATATGAAATGACTTTCCATTTATTTAGGTTTTCTTTAAATTTTTTCAACAATGTTTTTTAGTTTTCAGAGAAGTCTTATACTTCTTTTGTGTCAAAGAAGAACCTTGTGAGAACCATTTCTATGGAGTGGTGAGGGTGGCAATTTGATAGTGGTGTTGAGGAGTGACTGGTGACAGTGATGGTGAGGAGGAAGCTTGATGGAGAACAAAGCAGGTGGTGGGGGTGACTGGGATGTGTCGGGGGGAACATGAGAGCTGCCCAAAGACGGGTGGAAGAAGGGCTGATCTGAGGGTGCTGGTGAGGACAGAGACGGAGACTCCATGGGGTAGAGACATGCTTAGATGGCTTGAGACCATCCATAGCAATCCAGTTGCCAAGGCGATGGCAATGTGGTACCTGCCCTAAGGCAGGAGATGATACTGCTACCTGCATGTCCTGAAATGGCAGGGACATCTGAAATTAATTAGTCTGTTGGATAACAATTGTTGGTCCTGGGCTGCATCCAGAGCGACATCCTTGCTGATGGCGGGGTACAGTCCCACTAGTAGGGGATGGGAACAAGAGATGTGTCCATTCAGTCAGGAGCTCCCCTGCACTCAGGCCACCCGTTCCAGTTCGGAGCTGCCCATTATGCGTGGGGCCTGTACACTCATTGACCATGCCAGCAAACATGCCCCCGTCACCTGGCAGCCTCCGCAACTGCCGCCCTAACCGCCGGGCCTGCCAGCCCCTCACAACCGTATTACTGTGGGCAATTTCCAATTAGTGGCTAGCATCCACACAGCAATTTCACTTTGCTGTTCTGCAGTTGGTGCCACAAAACAACCGCCGCAGCCAGAGCATGCCGTTCCCTTGTGGCGGGAACCGTGGTGTCCGGGAAGGCGCTCGCTAGATGAAGTAACAAAGGGTAATGGTGCAGAAAATGCAGGAGCAGACTGCTTTGCCTCATTCTCTGCTGCCTTCACCTCACGCACAAACAGCTGACCGGCCGCCTTCCAGCGGCGGGTGGGAGAAGACGACCGCTCCCCGCCTGGGAGGAGGAGAAGGGGAGGAGCTGCCCAGGCGTCGTCCAGGGCAGGCTGTGTTTGTAAGAGTGGCCGGGGTTTGGACGTTGCTGCCATTCTGGAGGGATTAGGGCTCCTTGGGGGTTGCTGAGGACAATGAGGGGAATGGGAGTGTGGGCAGGCACATGGAGGAGTCTGGAGCGGTGCACATATGGTTCCAAGACAGGACGGCCCGGAGACAGCTTTCGGGATGAGGCTTAGGGTGGCCCTGGGGTTGAGGCGGGCTTGCACGTGGCGAGGTGTAGTTTCAGTGTGCCAGGAGGGCTGACCTTCCGGGTAAACTGGCGGCTCGCCCTCAGTGCCTTCCAGCCTTGGCACGGCAGCCGGGCGGGGAGAAGGGTCTGGCCGCTGCATCCACACAGACGGGACTCGGCATCCCAGCACGAGCCCTGACCAGCTGTGCGCACTCCTGGAGCCTTTGTCCTCTTCCGTGAGACAGAGAAAACAATGCCTTCCTCCCAGGGCTGCTGGAGTTTCCCTGACATGTGTATTGTGCCTGGGAAAAGGGTGTTCGATCAGTCCCTCCCCACCCCTGCCACCAGGGTCCTAGGGGCCAGGGCCTCGTGTCCCTGCACCCAGGAAGCTCAGCTCCTGATGCAGGCTTTGTGCACAGGAGCTGTCATGGCCACCCTGGCCTTCTCCGTTGCCTCGTTGCTTTTGACTGGGTGAGCTTCATGCTTTTCACCAAGGGAGGACCCTTAACCCAAAGGCAGAGGCGCTGGAGGGTGGAACTGGTCACTGTGGATTTCCAAGGGGCCTTCCCGGAGCCCCGCAGATCAGCAGGCAGCCACCCCAGGGTGGGAGCAGCCCTGCTGTTTGTATTGTGGCTGGAGCTAGTGGAACACCCTGGCCTCATGGTATCTTTGCAGGTGGACATTCTTCTCTGTGCCTCAGTGACTTTGAGACCGGGGAGCCTTTGGGACAGTGAATGGGGCAGGTGTGAGAAAAGATGCTGAGCACCCCAGGTGGCTGAGTGATACAATGAGGGCTGGCTGTGACGCCTCCTGCTTCCTCTCACCTGCCCATGCAGCTGCCACCGTTGGCTTTTGGTCATCACCTTCAGAACGTGGATGTCCACTGCCCGTGACTACCCAGGGCCCTGTGGCTGAGGAACGTGGGTGAGACTCAGAAGTCTTGGAGGCTGGGCAGGAGCACAGAGCTGGCCCATGCACACCCAGGGCCCAGGTTCCTGCTGTGGCCCCTGGGCTCCGGGGTGCAGGGCCAGCGATGGATCAGTGCACGGCGTGGGGCTGGCTGGAGACCCGGGTTCCTGGGTGGAGCCTGGCCATGCACATGTGGGGGCTGGGACGCCGGGTGGGATGTTTGTGCCTCTTGCCGCTCTGTCTGGGTCTGGTTGGCTCAGGTCCCTGGCCAGCCTTGTGGATGTTTAGGGACCCAGGGAGCCTTCTGCTGTATTCCTTCAGGGGCTGATCCCAGCGCCTGATTCCTGGTCTTCAAGGCAGCTCAGCCCAGAGACAGACGACGGACTCTCCCAGTGCAGAAGAGAACAGAGGAAAGGTCCGAGCCGTGCAGGCCGCCAAGGCCTTCCCCGCCTACAGGAACAAGCCTAGTCGTGTACGGTATTTGTGGGCATCTGGGATGGTGCCCAGAGCATGCCTCTGTGCCAGAAAGAGTAGGGCTGATTTCGAGTGTTCTGGTGACACCACCCACCGACCTGCTTTCATCTCCCTCCTCTGCCGGTCTCCTGGCCCTTCCTTCCCTGCAGGAGGTTTAAAGCCCTGAGACCACGTTTCGTTCCCGCCACCAGCTCTCTCTGGCCCCCGCCCCCCGGTTCTTCCCAGTGCTCCTCTGGCTCTTGCAAGAGAGCACTCTTATCCTCCTGTTCTCCAGGGACGCAGGGGTGAGGCGAGCAGACAGCTGTCTCGGTGCTGACGCCGAACAGACAGCTTGAGGGCGCTACGGGAGAGAACTTGAGGGAGGCTTCGTGACGCAGAGGCTGCTCTGGCTGGGACTTTTTAGTTTGATAGCTAAGGAAGTGGAGGCCCAGAGAGGTTCGATCATTACTCAAAGTCACACAGCCAGCTACGTTGAGTCCCAGGCCAGGGTCTCCCCACCATCCAGGCTGATGTCTGGCGGGAGAGGGAGTAGCCCCTGCCCATTGAGGAGCCAAACTTCGATGACTTGAGGTGTGGGACACCGTGGATTAACCACCACCCACATTTCCCTTCGCGCCTATGGGCTGGGTTAGGGTCCTGTCGTTCCTGCCATCCATCCGTCGTGCACGTATGCGCGGACGTCTTTGCTTGTGTCAGTGAGGCTACGTCGCCAGCAGAGGGCGCTAGCCGCCAGAGTCCCAGATTAAACAATAAATGAGTCCTCTTTAAGAGTTTCTGAAATGACAGGGCAATCAAGGCTCATTTGGGGAAGAAAAGATTGAGCTTTCATGCTCTATCCAAATCATCTCTACCTGCTAAAAATGATGTATAATACATAAGGATCAAAAGTGATTAAAATCCTTATGAATTTAATCAGAAATTCACAGTTAACCACTATTTGCTTTGGTGCAAATTGATGTGGAATAACAATCATGTGTATCTGCAATTTTTTTTTAACTTGTGGGAAATTTGCTGGTGATTTGTGGGGGGAAGTGCGGGGGAGTGGGGGCCATTGAAAGGAGAGAAAAGGAGGAAGGAAGCGCTGCGGCCGGGTCCCCGGAGGCTCCGGCTGCCACATACTTAGCAGTTCTGTTGACGGTCTTTGTTCATAAATTTCAGGCCTTTTGCTATTTATTACTATGAACAATAGAAACTCCTAATAATAACTCCAGTGTGTGCTGCTTGCTTTAACTGAGCAGAGTTCTCTAAAAACTGATTCTCACCCTCGAACCTTATGTTTGGGTGGAAAATCCCCCTTCTTCCGCACTTTCTTTCATTTTCTTCTAAATTATGCCTCATAAAATCAGGCCACTGGATCCTTTCAAATACAGACAAGGGCTCAGCGCAGAGAGAGACCACGCAGGAGGTTTCAAAGCCCCGATGTTTCCTCCCTCCCTGGTAAGGACCCCCCTTGGAGGGCAGAAAAGGCCAAAGTAAGGAACGACGGAGACCCCTCACCATCTTTTCCGCATGGGGGACTTTCTTGTAAAAGGTTTTTTCTGTGTCTTCGATCCACACCACGGAGGGCTGGAGCTCCCGAGCCACCTGCGGAGAAGAGAGCATTGGCTGTGAACGCATTTCCCCTCGGGTGCCCATCTGACGCAGGACCGAGGCTCCCGCGAGGGGTCCCGAGGGTGGCAGTGCTGCCACCTGTCCACGGGCTCCGCGGAACATGGGCATCAATGGATTCTGCAGCCAGCGCCTGCCCTGACCCGGCCCCCTCCACGGCAGGGTGGGCCTAGCCTTGGCCCCTGTCTGCTCCGAGGCCTGTCCTGATGGGCGGGACTCGGCTCCAGGACAAACACTCTGCTCTGGGACCCTGGGCCTCCACTCGGTTTGGCCTGAGAGAAGCCGTAGTTCTCTGCTGAATGGGGAACCGAGCAGCGAGTGTTAACTGCAGCCTCTCGCCGTCCCCAGGTCGATTCGAGTTTGCTTACCTCGAGGAAAACTGTTTGAGCACAAGGGGCGCGAGACGCTGTTTGTTGGTCTGGGTTTGGCTGTGCCTTTGTGGCTGCCGCTGCCCCCGGACAGCGGCTCCGAGCCCCTCCGGGCGAGCAGGGCCTCGCGGCAGAGCCGGGCTGGGACTTACCGTGGGCCCAGGAATAACTGCCACACCCCTAACAATCTCTCCAGAGCGCCCCCATGATAGCACGGTTCAGGTATTCCTGCAACAATCTGTGCTCTGTGTGAAACCGTGACAGAGGAAAGCGATGCAGTGCTATGTACTCTTAATTTTTACATTTTTTGAAACATCGTCAAGGCAGCAGGCATGATTTTAAACCAAGACAGGCATTCAGCGAGCGGCGGGCACGTCCCCGGGAACGCTGCGGCCGTGCCGTTGCCCGTGTTCCGTGTGGAGAGGCGGGTTGGGCTGTCGCGCAGATTACGCACCTTCAAAGACGAAAGCGGACGCTGCCTGAACTCGATCCTTCCGCTGGCCCCACACCTGCTGGCTGCGTTCACAGTCCCCACACACAAGGACGTTCAGAGAGCAAACAGTGGCAGCCACGCCCTGCTCACTAGGTGTTATGTTTTAGACCCAGAGCCATGGAGTTTAAGAATCAAGAACCCCAAATTTTAAACCCCAGGCGTGGGGAGTGATCAGAGCGGTTGGCGGTGGGCAGGCGTGTGCCAGGCATTGGCACCTGCACTGCACCTGGCGTTACACGGGGTCGGGCCAGCACACACCCAGCACCACCTGCTCCCCGAGGGCTTCAGGTGCGAGTGATAACTTGTGCATCCTCATCTCAGCCCTATGGAGTGGGCACCGTTATCATCACCCAGGTTTACAGATGGGGAGGCCAGAGACATTAAGCGAGGGCCTGGTCACACAGCTGCACAGTGGCCGAAGCAGGACTCAAGGCCAGGCTGATGGCCACAGAGCCTGTGCTGGGAGCAGAGGCCATAGCCATGGCTTCTCCGTCTGCTCTTCCACACGTGTGAGGGCCCGCCCCGTGCCTCTGCTCCAGAGGTAACAGGACCAAGGCCCCGAGAGACGAGAAAGTGGCTGAGTTAAGACCCAAACCCTTATCTTTGGATCCCAAAGGCCTTACCCTTTGGGAGATGTCCTTCCTGGAACATCTCTTCCTTCCTGACACCAGACCTGCGCACCAGACCTTCCACCCCCAGTCCCGGCGAATTCGCAGGTGGCCTGCATTTGTGGGTGCCTTATTTTCAGCTTGCCATCGGGAGTTTATTTTTGGGCACCAGAATATGGACTCTTTCCTGGTTTTAGATCACCAGAGGAAAAGACTAATAAATTTAATTGGACTTGGCAGTAATGGATTCAAATCTCCAGCCCCCAAGCACGCGTCCTGGAATTTGGAGAAACGACACTGCCTGGTTCTCTTCCCCCTGGCTGGGGTGCATTTCCCACGGCTTCCAGGAGGAGTCCAGGTGGGAGAAATCCAAGAGGAAATGCAGGGCCTTGGGATGGAGCTCGCTTCGTTCATGGAGCCGATCCATGCCGACCGCGGCTGGCGCCAACCTCTGCAGGAGTGGCGAGCACAGGAAGAGGGACAGGTGGGCCTGTCCCTGCAGGGTCACCTACAACCGGGAAACCCAGCGAAACGCAGCCCAGCCAGAGGGCAATGGTAGCAGGTAGTGTTGGCGACAACACGTGCTCAGAAGACAAGGGACTGCTGTGTGTGGGATGGCAGCAGGTGAGTGAGGAGGGGGCCTTGGACCACCCAGATGAGGAAGCAGGCTCTTTCCTCCCCCAGCAGTTCAGTGGCTCTCATTAGGGTCCCGGGGAGCTTTGACAACTATGATGTTGGGGTCCCAGCCCTGGAGACTCTGTCGAAGGACCGAGATGAAGGCAAGTGGCCCCAGGAACCACAGCAAGCAGTCGGGGCATCAGCAGTGTTTGAAGCCCTGGCTGATGCTGAGGTACAGCCAGGGTCAGAAGGCTGTCCGGAAGCACAGGTTCCTACTGTGAGCCCGCTTGGACACCCACACCTGCAGCTCGGCCTAGACGGGGGTTCCCAGGACCCCGTCCTGGTTTCTCGGCACCTTCTCAATGGAGCCTTCAGACTGAGCCCCTCCACTCTGGTGGCTTCCATGTGCTGGTGATGCCCAAAGTCCCGTCCGGAGCTCTGGGCCGCATCCTCCCCAGAGTTTCCTGTCCTTACGTGGTGTCTGTCCTGAATGCCTGAGAACCCAGCAAGGCCAAGGCTGCGCTCCCCTCCCCTCCCCCCGTCTCACCTCCTGCAGGTTCCCCATGTGAACCCTCCCACCCAAGCTGGAGCCTTGGAGCCGCCCCCACCACACCCCCACTCCCACCAAGCCCAGAGTCCATTCTCTGCACCACCTAGCCCCTCTCAACCCCGACGAGGCCCCCATTCCCTCGTCTCCTTAGCGTCAGCCCCGACTTCCTCCCGGTAGGACCCAGCAATGCAGCCGGGATCGAGCTCAGGCGCCGGAGGGCGGCCTGGGGACTACTGTTCGCTCAAAGCTGTTTTGAGTTTAAGTCGAAAGCTTCCCCGCTTCCAGCCTCCAAAGCAAATAGGAACATGAGATGCTGTGCGTGAAATGTTTTAAGCTTAGAGAAATGATAATTTGTAATAACAAAGGCAAAACCTTATTCTTTTCAGTGTCTCTTAAAAACTTAGCTTTAGAACTGAAAGCGATGGAAAATCAATTTTCACACACAGGGCCGTCTGTGGTCTCAGCTCCGGTGCGTGTCTGCCACTGCGGCGGATCAGGCCTCTCCCGTGTCCACTTGGCACCCACGGCTTTTCCGCGGTTTCCACTGGGCCTCTATTTTCTCAGCACAGCGTCTCCTAACGGGAATCGCAGATGCGAGTGCCAAGTATGTTGGCGTTCCTCTCCTCGCCTGCTTTTAACCAAGTAAGCTACGCAGTTGGACTCGAAACGTAGGATTCTTTCTAGCTTGGAATAATTTTGAGACGACAGTCGTATGGCTAGCACCTGATCTAGGTTGTTTTGCAACGTTGGCCACAGCATCCTGCTGCACGTGAGAGTTGATGACTGTCTGCTCCTTCACAGCTCCTGGGGGAATGCCAGGCTTCCTGTGTTTTACACGCACGCTGCGACGGAATGCCTTTCCCGGGACGGTCACCTGCTCTGGGGCCACACAGGGCTGTGGGGATGATGGGGCTTGGAAGGGCTCGATTACTATCAAACACAACAGAAGACGTTTCCCAAGAGTGTTCTTTGATGATGATATAAACAACCAGCATTGGTTTGCAAACTGTTTTGACTTCCATGACACCACATCCACCCTCACTGGCCATGCGCCACGCGCTGTGACAAGCACGCCCCACGGCGTCTCCCCTTGTACAGATGGGGCCCCCGAGAGAGCGCCACACTGAAGCCAGTGGGGGAGCGGCCAGCTGTGGCCAGACCTGGCCAGAGGTTTGGTAATGCGGAGGTCACTGGGGGCCTTGGCAGGGAGTGGAGGGGACAGAGGCCAGTGACAGGGAGCGTTCTTTCAGAAAGATGGGCAGATGGTGAGCTCTGGGCAGCAGGTGTGCTCCAGGGCGGGGCCAGGGCAGGGAGGAGACTGGAGGAGGTCGGGATGGGAGGGCAGTGGGGGAGGACGACCTTGGAGGGAGAAGGGCTTCCTGGCACCAGTCGGAGGGTGCGCAGGTGAGACGAGAGATGTCCACTGGGATAAGGTCTCTTCTCACACTCAGCGGAAAAGCAGCATTCTTAGTAAAAATTCAGAATATACAGACGGCATCAACGACAGCTTTTCTCCCTCCATCTAGAATCAATGGTCAAACATTTCGTGTCGTTACAGACCCTTTGGGCATCCACAGATACGAACGTGGGATTGTTCCGCAGGCTCAGCTTTATGCGCGGCTTTGCTCACTTAATAGGAAATTCACTTTCCAACGTCACTGTAACACGAAGGACCATGACTTATGCTTCTACTTCCCGGTTTTGAACATTTAGATGGTTTCCGCCTTTCCTGCACCAACGAGTAGTTAGCTGGACACTTTGGGCACGTGGCTGAGAATTTCCTTAGAGCGACCCGGCCAGAGAGAAGCTTCCAGGTTGAAGGGCCCCAACTCTCTCCACGTTCTGACACGCGTGGCCACACGCGCCCCCCGAGGTGCTGTCCGTTTACGCTCCCTCCGGAGATGAATGAGGGGCCGGGTTTTCCACGCTTTTCTCCTCGACAGTGATTGACAATAAATAACCCTTTGCCAATTTGCTAATGAAAAATGGTATCCTTTGCTCTTTTAATTTTCATTTAGCTATGGAAAGGCTTCATTTAAATTACCCACAGACAGTCTGAGGTCATGGGCAATTAAGTGTAATTAATTCATAATTGAACTTTCCAGCAGTCCTGCAGGATGGTTTGCCGCAGTGGCCAGCAGAGGGCTCTTCAGTCCCACTGAATATCACTGTGGGTTTTTGTTTTGTGTCAATTACGGAACGGAGACAAATTTCCGTCGATTTGTACTTCTTCCAGCTCCGAGAGGTTCTTTCTAGCAAACGACTGAAGCCTTCTCCACCGTGTGCATTTGCGGATTTGATCTTTGTATTCTCCAGAGAAACACTGTCAAACAGTCTCT